AGACCATTCCAGACAAGTGGCTGGAGTCTCTTCTTAAAAGCCTCCAGTGATGCAGCAGCCACAACTTCTGGAGGCCAGCAGTTCCACTGATGAATTGTTATCGCTGCCAGGGGGGATTTCTCCTGCCTTCTAGGTTGCTTCTCTCTTTGATTCGTTCCCATCCATTGCTCCTTGTTTTGCCTTCTGGTGCTTTGGAAAATAAGTCGTCCCACCTCCTCTTTGTGGCGGCCCTTTAAATATTGAAACAGTGTTATCATGTCACCCCATTTCTTCCTTCACCAAATCTCACAATCTTAATTCTATCCTTCTGTTAATACAGCCCAGGATTTTATTGGCTTTTTGGGCAGCTGTAGCACGTTGGTGGCTCATATTTAAGTGATTATTCTCTAGGACTCCAAGATCTTTCTCTCAGTCATCACTGCTGTACTATGCTTCACATATGTCAGTACCTGTACATTTGGTTTTTCTTGCTTAAGTGTAAAACCTCACTCTTTTCTATATTTAATTTCATTTTGTTAGATAGGGCCCAGTGTTCAAGTCTATTGAGATCCATCTGGATCTTGAACCTATCTTCTGCTAGTTGGTGGCATCTGCAAATTTGATGAGTTTTCCTTATCTTCCCAGACCTAAACCATTTATGAAGATATTAAATAGTACTGGACCTTAAAGGGAACCTTGTGGCACCCCACTGCTTCCCTCCTTCCAAGTAGATGCAGTTTCATTAATGACTACACATTGAGTGCAATTTATCAACCAGTTACAAATCCATTTAGTTACAAATCCATGCGGTCTATCTCACATGTTTCTAATTTACTAAGAAGTAAGATGTTGTCTACTTTGTCAAATGCCTTTCTGAAGTCTAGGTATACTATGTCCACAGCATTTTTCTGGTCCACTAGTATAGATACTTTGTCAAAGAATAAAATAAGATTTCTTTGGCATGATCTGTTTTTGATAAACCCATGTTGACTTTTGGTTATAATTTTGTTTGTTTCTAGGTGCTTGCAAATCTGTTGCTTGATTATGTAAGACACTAGTTTGATTTTGTTTTATTGCTTGTGTCTGAATTATATTAAATTTCAATATGACATGGTCACTCTCCCCTAAGGTTCCTACAACTCCAATCTCCTCTTGCATTTCATCTCTGCTAGTAAGAATTAACTCTAGTATAACTGACCCTCTAGTTCCTTACTGAAGTGCTTTACCTATAGGTCCTTGGTCCTGGCAGTTCAGTGTTAATGCTCTCAGTTAGGTTAATCAGATTAGGCTAAAGTACAATGAATATCCCCTTTTTTTTTTCTGTGACCATGATGGGGAAAAAACCTTACGTTAAACTAGTAGGAATTGCAATCAACGTGAGGCACATTAATTCGCTGGCTTTGTTTCCCGTCCTTCTTGTGACCCCTGTGCCCTCCGCAGGGCTGGAGTGCTCGGGGCCAGTCGTGTCTCCAGGCCCCTAAGACCGTGAGGGAGAAAGCCAGCCCTTGCTGGGCAGGGGGACACCTCTCTGCCCTGGAGAAGCCGATCGTGTCCTTTGTCTTAGGCAGCAAAACCTTCAGTCCCAGCCCTGGAAGCTTAGTGCTCCTTCTGGAAGAACAAGTTGAAGGAGGTCTGAAAACTGGCATTCCGGTCATTAGCAAGCAAATCCAAAGGAAACCTGCAGGGTAATAGAGAGTGGCAGTGTGGCCAGAGTCAGGCACTGAAGCTGTGCGGGGGAGCAGCCAATTTCCATCCATCCAGTGTTTCTGCACAAAAAGCAGGAAGGAACAGCATCAACTGTAGCCTTGACTGCCTCAAGGGACTTTTCATGTCAATCTGTAGTCAGAGTTGGAAAAATGTCTCATTGCAGAATCATGTTCTGGTTTCACTCAACCCATTAACAATGCAAAAAGTCAAGATGGCAGCTGGTCCTAGTCATGAAAGCCTTGCCCCATTTTCACGTGTGTCTTGCATGTAAGGGGGATGTCAAGACTGAATCGCATTGCTTCTTTCAAAACTTAATGCTTTTCCACCTGCCAGTGAACTGGGAGGACGGAAGGGGGAAATGGGATGCTGAGAATGTATGTGGAGATGGTGAGAGTATGGAAACCATCAAGGTCACCACTGCAGGTGCTGGAGAAAGAGATGGACTGTTAGCATAATGGAAGAACTTCTCATAATTGGACAAGGGGTGGGTACAAGGGGAAGCTATGGTTTAACATGGCAAACGTTTGTGCGGGAAAACCAGAGCGGGCTTTGTTTCATCAGTATCAATATGGTGTATCCAATAAAGTTTTACTTTTGGGAATTCATATCTTCCAAGAATGTTTCCTTGTTTGGGGTTCACAAGTCAGACAGTTAACAGGGGAGATCTTGAGGGTCACAGCTGCCTTCTTGACCTTTTTGACATCCTTTCCCCATGAATGGGATTGCAAATGATGCTGAAAGTAACAATGTAAAGCGATAGTCCGGTTCTCACAACCTGCGCCCAAAGAGTGGTGTTCCCATCACATGCTGAACTGCCACCCCCCATCCCCCAATCTTTCATCCTCATTGAGCAATTTGACTGACTCCATCCCTGGGTTTGTCTCCCTCTTTGGTTCAAGACTAGGGAGAAATGAGCAGGGACCCAGCAGTGCCAGAAGGAGGCTGAGCTCACCAAAGGGCAGGGCAGCACCTAGCAGACTGAAGGGCTTCGTTGGGGAGCTGGGGGGCAGAACGCTTCCCCTCTCCATCTTCTAAAAAGGCCAGCATTTCATGCTGCAAGAAAGGAGCATTTTGTTTTGAGCTCTGGCTTCCCCAAAGATCCCTGGCTCAAATGGATCTGCTAGACCTGGGTGTTTAGACCCCTGACAACTGTAGTGCAGCTCTGATTAATCTTTTCTCTCATAGGTCACACGAAGGACATGGGAAGTATGTGAGGTGATCCATACACTTGTTACCTCTTGTTAACTATCTAAGCTTACTATCTAAGTAATAATGGATGCTTCCTGCACTGCCATTAGCACAATTTGTGAATTTAGCCCCTAGAGGATTTTGTCAACATAACCTGTTAGAAATCAAAATGGTGTCATGTATTAATGACATCATGCAAATGAATCCAATGAAGCAATTCAAACAAATGGCATCGTTTACACCATTTACATGGATACGGTGAATGCTCATCTCAAGAAGTTCACCATAGTCAATAGTCCTTCTAAGATGTTTCGAATGAGCATCTCGATGGAGTCCCAGGGAAAAAAGAGAAAGGGACAAAGGTTCTTGTTGCCTATGTTTGGATTGGCTCACCAAGATGTCTGTTTAGTGCTCCCCTCCCCACAGGGCAATATGGCTCTAAGACCAGCTGTACAATATTGTAATCACAGACTCTGAATTTACAGTAAATGTGTCCCAAACATTAGGACTTAAACACACAGCAGAAAAGATCCTGGTCAGCAGGTGCCCAGCTGGATGCGGATCCTTCCCCTGAAAAATCTCAACAATCCGCTTTCTTAGAAAGGCTCCCTCCAAGGGGATCCTTTGGGACTGGCTCATTTTCATTCATCTTGCTGGTGTTTCTGGAAACATAATCTGGCGCGGTTAGTGAAGGGCAAGGTAACAGATAACCTTCCCATTGTCTTCCATCTTCCTTTCCAGGATTTCAGGATCTTATCTCTTGCTTGAGCAATGGAAAGGAACACAATGGAGATATTTCTGTGTCTTTTGGTGACATTTTGATGAAAATGTATTTATTTGGGGTTTTTATTTTTTACACTTCATTTATATACTATGAGCCAGTTGACACAAAGCGGGAAGTAAAGCAACATGTGTCTTTTTTTTCCCTGGAATTGGCTGCAAACTAGCAAATGCCAATTAATTCTGATTGTATTACAATTCCAGAATCTCAACACCTTTTTTATATTGTGGTGACCAAAACTGGATGCAGTTGTCAGCTGTCCAGCTAGTGAATCCAAACAAGGAACTTCTGGGACATTGTTTTTCCCAAAAAGTCAAACTATATTAGATACACTACATTGGCACAGAAGAAGTGAAACCGGCTCTGATTTTCCCATGTGAAAGCCCACATAGTTAAACGTGACTTTCCCCGTTGGCCATCCACCCCTTCAGCTCATTGCGTTGTCCAACTGAATTCACTCTTTTTGTTATGAGAATGATCTGCATCGTTCAAACACCCGCGTGTTTGAATTTGGCGGGTGGCAACAGGGTCTCACCATCTGCAGGTGGAGTCTTCCAGTTCCACTCCTGTCACCCCAGACCTTCCAGCCCTCACCCCCCCCCCCCGATTGTTGTCAAGCTGAGAGCGAAGAAGCAACTAGGTGAAAGAGAAAATCACTTTTGACATGACGACCCCGCACCCCCGAAGAAAGATATGTATGGAATAAATATAAATATACATTAGCATGAACAATTCACCAATGTGTAAATGATTAGTCTCACTTCTGTCGTTTAGGGTTTCTGGAATGAAACCTTTTTACTAGCCTTGCCGCCACCCACTCTTTCCATCACACTCCCATCAAAACTGGTCGGAGATAATGCGTTTTGGGACCCCATGCAGCCTAGAGATGTGCCGCACAAATTTTGCTAAGATCCGGGCTGAAGGGAACTTTTGGCATGGTATGAAATGGGCCTGTTTTGAGAACAGGTCAACAGCAGTCCAGATTATAGTGTTTCCCCCCCCCCCCGCTCCCCCCAACTCTCGGGCAGCTCCACTATGAAATCCATGACTATCTTACTAGCAGAGAAGAAATGATAGAGGGAGTTGAGGTTGCAGGAACTTTGAGGAAAGTGACCGTGTCATATTGGAATTCAATATAATGCAATCAAGAGCAATAGAACGTAATCAAACTAGTGCCTTAGACTTTGAAAAAGCTGGTTTCAACAGCTGTTTTGCTGCTGAACTTGGAAAGTATTCCTTGCTAGAAACCACTTTTTTCCCCAAAGACTTCAAAACTGGGTCGAAAACATGGCATTGTGAGTAGGCATTCTGCCTGTCCTTAATCAGCTTTTCATCTTTGGTTTAGTGTCACCTGCTGCTGAGCGCCTCCGATATATCCTGGGTGAAGATGATGAGCCCCCCAACCCAACACTATTCACTGAGATGGACACTCTCCAACATGATGGAGAAGAAATGGAATGGAAGGAGGCAGCCAGGTAGGAAAACTGAGAGGGCAGGAGCCATTTGGCTACCAAGGCTAAATTCGTGGCTGGATAGACCTAGCAGTTCAACACTAGGACCTTTCGTTGCAAGAGGACATGTCTGAAGGGAGAAGGGGACTGAACCCCTTGGTTTCGGCAGCTCTTTCACGACTATCATTCTGTGATGTTCTGGCTTAGGATCGCTTTCCATAATGTCGAGAAGAATTGCCACACCGGGCTCAGCTGTTGGTTGGCAACCGGGTGCATTGCCCAAAGCCTTGTGCTCGGATTGGGCCACTGGCTTGATTGCAGGGACAGTGCTGAGGGAGGTGGCAAGGAGAGGGGCTTCAGGGACTGAGCTGAGACCAGACCTGGGATCACGACCAGAGCAGTGGCTGCCCTAAGGAGATTGGGAGGTGCCCCATGGGCTCACAGCCTGGGCTCTTGGCACTTCCATCTGAGCCTTGCATGCTGGGGGAACAGCTCCAGATGCAGCTGTTAGTTTGCAGTGAGAGCCAATTCAGAATGGCAGCCCTGACCCCTGCCTCAGTTGTTTGGCGGGGCTTCCGTGCATGGGATGGCCCCATCAGTTGCTGACCCGGAGGAGGAGGCGGAGGAGGAGGCGGCGGTGGAGGAGGAGGAGGAGGAGGAGGAACTAGGGCCATTAGACAGATGGATCCAGGGTCCCTAGGAGCATTCAGAGAGCCTGGGGGTGGAGGAGACACATGCCCAGGTCCATCAGGCACTGGATGTGTGTGTGTTGTGGTGCAATCCACCAGGTGGATAGCTACTCGCTCAAGAAGAGGACGGAGAGCCATGGCTGCCACAAGTTAAAACTGATGATCAGCAACAGGCTGCCTCTTATTGAGGAGCGGCTGCTGCATCCGCCCAATCCACAGGCGCAAAGAGCGGGGAGATGGGAAGCTCAGAGGAGGTCGGTGAGAAAGCAGCCTCGGCCTTCCTAAAGAGAAACACCAGGTTCTGAACTACTTAGTCAGGCATGTGAGAGGGAGACGTTGGCAAAGCAACCGTTCACTTTCTTGAGCATCATCTTCAGCTCCGTGCTTCCTGCACCCTGATTTCATGCTGTGATCCTTGGATTTGTCTTGTTGGCTTTTCCTGGACGTAGACTTGGGTTTGCATCTGCACTCGGGGAGATGATTGTGAGGTACGTTTGCTTGAGACCTTACTTCTTCAGCTTTATGCATGTGTGTTTGGGCTTAATCACTGAATTGCTTGGGAGAGGAGCTTTTGACTTGGGGATTCAGCGGCTTATTGCTATAACGATTAGAGTGGTGCAGTGAACACATGGTACTCGCACCTGTTGCCAGAGCGCTGTTTAGCAGTGTGCAATTCAGGGGTGGGGGCAGCACTTAAGAGCCATCTTTGCACCCGATATGCGCCCCACTGGCAGAGCGAGCGGTGGCAGTTTGGAGCCAGCTATGCCAGCATGTTTGCGGGTAGCATGCCCCGGAGACCCTGGGAGATGACTTATGGTGGAATCCTAAGAAGCTGTGTCCGTCACCCAAGGGCCCTCAGGAGGAGTTTTGGAAAGACTTGGGGAGGATGGTGGCCATCCAGAGGACACTGGGCACAACAACCAAGCCTGCACAAGAGCCGGATGGAGGGCCAAGAGTGACTTGGAAGTTTTTCTTGGCAGGGGCCAGGCTCCTTAAAGGAATGTCTCCCTCCCCGAGATCGGTTCATTCCGCCCATGCCACCTGAAGCAGCCTGCAGGCCCCCTCGGCCAGAGTGTTCCTGCTGGTGGCGCCAGGAGAAGAGCCTTCCCTGCCACTTGGGACCTCTGGCCACCCTGGGTGAGGTCAGCCCCAACCCTCCTGGCTCTGCCAGTTGGCCTGGAGCTCCGGCTGAGGGGCTGGTTGATAGATTAGCAACAGGTCCCACCCAGCTGCTTCTTGTCAGCCTCCCTCCCCGTCTTTTTAGCTTGGTTGACGTTTAATAGCACTGTATCTATTTTGTCGGGGTTATATAGTTTCATCCTTTCATGTTGTTAGCCACTCAGAGTTACCGTATAGTAAGGTGGTTGTCTAATAAATTTTACAATTCAATCATCAATCAATTACTGTAGAATGGAAGGAAGAGCTACTCACCTCGCAGCCTGGAGTTGTGAGATGTCCCAGCCCTTCCAGTTGGCAGGTGGTTCCACCCGCATCCCTCCCCATGGCGGTTTCTCCCGAGGTTGTATTACCTCGGATGCCTCCAATCCAACCCTTGGCCACCTTCTTCCAAGTGCTCCCAGGAGGCTCTTCCCCATGCAGGAAGCCCTCATCCTACCGGCTGCAGGACAGCCTCGCCCACCTGGCCCCGGCCGGCTTTTCCCTCGTGCCTCCAGAGAAACGGAAGGTTGCCTCCGTGGGCTCCTCTTGGAGGGAGAACCAGGATCCCGTGCCTTCCAGCCACCAAGAGCCAGGGAAGCGGCGCCAGAGCGGAGCCCTGGGAGGAGGCCAGGTGCCTTGCGGAAAGTCAGGCCTGCAGCTGCCTCACCTGCAGAAGGGAAACCCTTGGCTGGACCAGAGACCAGGCGCCCTGCAGCTCCTCATTCACATCAGATCCGGACTGAATCGGGGCTTGAATTCACCTGGGCTGATTTTGGTGCAGAGAGATATGGGACTGTAACCAATGGACTGGCAGTCCTCAACTTACGACCACAACTGAGCCCAAAATTTCTGTTATTGAGACATTTATTAAGTAAGTTTTGCCCCATTTTATGAGTTTTCCTGCCGCGGTTGTTAAGTGAACCATTGCAGTTGTTCAGTTAGTAACACGGTTGTTAAGTGAATCTGGCTTCTTCCCCATGGACTCTGCTTGTCAGAAGGTCGCCAAAGGGGATCCCCTGACCCCCTGGGCCCTGCAACGGTCATAAGTATGAAACAGCTGAGACTTTTGATCCCGTGACCGTCCCATGGGGAGGCTGCAAAGGATGCAGCTGTGAACAACAGTTAAAGGCCTCTTTTTTTTCAGTGCCATCATGACTTTGAATGGGCAAATGAAGAGTTAACTTTGCTTACTTACTGCAACTATATAAAACAAACCCTTTTGAAATCCTTAAACTTTAATCAAAGTATTAACGGAAACCTTAAGGCATCCTTATATTATTGGATTTTAAGTTCAGCACCATTTAAAATAACACAAATCCAAATCCTTATGGAATGTCGCCTATCAGCTGAGATTCTAGAGGCATTAACCCGTCATTCTTCATGAATATGCTGAGTCTCTCTGCACTGGGGGAGGAATTGGGAGACTCTAATAGCACTGTTGAGCTCATTTCAACCTCTTGGTTGTCAAGTACAAAGCATTGTGAGTGCTTATGTCCAAGGAAAACAAAACTATAAAGTCAAGCAACTAATAACATAGCTTTATTTTTTAATAATTCCCTTCTCTTTCTTGGTCCTGGTAGTTTTCACATTGTGCCCCATGATCTGTCCATAGTGGAAGGTGGGGATGAAACCATGAAAGATGCATTGCACACCTTGGCCTGTTCACAGTGGCCCGATAGGAATTCCCCGGAGCAAGCACTAAGTAAAAAGCTAACCAATTATCCAAGAGGTGTTAAACAACAGTTAGCAAAACCTAACCAAAAGGGGTTGATCTTGAAACAACTAAGCAGAGTCAGGCTTGCTGGAATTAAAACAAAAAACATAAAAAAAAATATTCTGGAAATAGTCCCAAAGCTGCTGTTCAAAGGGCAACTGGACTTTCTTATTTTTTTTCCTTGAATACATTTTGCTTCTCATCCAAGAAACTTCTTCAGTTCTTGGATGAGAAGTGAAACGTTTTCAAGGGGGAAAAACCAAGGAAGTCCAGTTGCCTTTTGAACAACCCCTTTGGGATAACCATGACCTGGATGACTGAGATGCTCCATAGACCTTCTGGAAACAGGCAACCATAGGCCGCTTTCTGACACACCAGCTGTCACGAAGTTTGAATAAAGCATGCCCTTGTTTTAGTTCAGCTCCAACTGCATCACGGTCGGCTTAGTTCAACGTAACCCAGCTCTTAGCGCAGCGCAGCCAAGAGACTAGACTTGTAGGCTTCCATTGTTAGGTTCATTTTGCCTGGAGGCAAAGGGTTAAATCCCTTCTCCAGCACAGGATTCAATATCTCCCTTGCTGCATGCAGACTGATGAAAAACCCCAATGATTAGGAAACCCCCTCAGGTATTTCCTCTTCCTGACATGTAAAGATAGGAGATCTGTGACGGGCAGAACTTTATTTCTCTCATTCTCTAAAGAAAATGTATTTTCTTGCCAGAACTTGGTATTATTTCTATTGTAGCGTCCTTCATAAACTTTTAGAATACAGAATGTAAAATAACAGAGCTGGAAAATCCCTCACCCTAAGCCACAACTCCAAGAGGCACGTTGTTCCATTGATTGACTGCTCCGACAGTCAGGAAATTTCTCCTTATTTCCAAGCTGGACCTCCCTTGTACAAGCTTCCACCATTACTTCTTCTTCTGCTGCCCTCAGGAGCTGGAGAGAGTAACGCCTTGGCTCTGTGAGTGGCCCTCAAGGACTGGAATTAGAGCCCCATACGGGTTCTAACTTCATTGGCTGAAAAAAGTACACGATGTTTCTTCCCCTCGCTCATTTCTATCCCAAGAAAGTAGGGAGGTTTGCCATGTTTGCCAATTCCTTCGGCTGTCTCTGATCTTACGGCTCTGGTCTCCCAGGTTATTCCCACAGACCATTCCATATGATAAAAAAGATGCTGGTATCTTTCTTTGTTTCAGATGGATTAAGTTTGAAGAGAAGGTGGAAGAAGGAGGGGAGCGATGGAGCAAACCTCATGTATCAACTCTGACTTTGCATAGCTTGTTTGAACTGCGCACTTGTCTGCAGGTGGGAACCATCCTGTTAGATCTCGATGGCTACTTCCTGCCACAAATCATAGGTAAGGTAAGATCTGCAAGGATCTGAAATTAAAGGCACAACCACCCAAACCCTGCTTCACTCAAGGAAAGGGCTCACCAAAGTGCTTTCAAACAGTAATAGGACATAAGGAAGTGGGGTGAAAAGACCACTCCCTCAGTCTTACAGACAGCTCAGGTGTTAAAGGAATCATTTGAAGAACTCTGTGTCTGAGGTGATAGGAAGGCTACCTCTGTGATGACCTATTCAGGTGCACAAGTCATTGCTTCAGGAGCATGGGATATGTTGTAGTGCCTGCATCCTTGTAAAGATGGCGGTCACGATCCTTCTGCGTTTGTATCAAAATCTTCTGAAGACATTAGAGTCCTGCTTAATCTGGGGCATCTGGAGTTCAATCGGGGTTTAACAAATGTATAACCTTCTTAGATGATCTCTAAAGTCCCTTCCAGCTCAGGCAATTCCTGGCATCCAGGGCTAATCATCCTTAATGGTGCATGGCAGAATTAATGGTGGGACATCGTGAGTGGTAAGCTTTAACCAGTCCAAGAGGAATCCGTTATTAGATCCGTAGCTTTGAAAGTTGCGCGTTATACTTTCTTGCATTATACTGAATACCATTATAAAAGAATATATAATTACTTTTGTATTCTCATTGGATATTGGTTCAGTTTTATTTTGTTTGTTTATTTATTAAATGGTTTTCTGCCCATCTCATCACGAAGTCATTCTGAGCAGTTTACATTGTTTAAAAGAATAAAACAATATGTATCTAATAAGAATAAAATACTATAAAAATACAAAAGATCTGCTATAACTAAAAGATGGGGAGGGAGGGGGTAGAATGAGCAAGGGGGGAGGGGAGATCTGTAGTTCATCTCTCAGCCCCCACCCTCACCCCAGCCACACAGGCTGTTCCAAAGGGCAGGAGCGATGGCTGAGCTCTTCTCCTGGACCCAGCCAGCCAGAATTCCCTGGCCAACAAGGCTTGGAGCCGGCTTCCTCTGCCAGTGTGCGTGGCGCCAGCCGATCCCAGTGGGGCGAGAGGGACCCCAAAGGAACCAGGCCAGGAAGAAGATTCCCAGCACCTTGAGTTGCGCCCAGAAGCAGACTGGCAGCCAGGAGAGCTTACGAAACAATGGTAACTGGGCCCCTCTAAGGCCCCCCAAGGCTGCCTGCGCTCCTGCCCCAGCTGTTCTTCAAGGGTAGCCTTCTGGTGCCCGATGGATTTCCTCTCATGGATTTGACTTTTATATTCATTAATACATGCATTTTGTGTTATCATCACCTAAAAATCACAGTTATGTTTTTATATAATCTTTAAGTCAATAACTTAGGATATTTGAAAAAATGTCTATTAGCTTTTACGTTGCTACTAGTTCAATGATTGAAATCAGTGGTGGGATTCAAATATTTTTCCTATCGGTTCTGTGGGCGTGGCTGGGTGGGCATGGCAGAGGAGGGATACTGTAAAATCTCCAGTCAGAGGTGGGATTTGCTGATTCTCTGAACTACTCGAAATTTCCGCTACCGGTTCCCTAGAACTGGTCAGAACCTGCTGAATCCCACCTCAGATTGAAATACGTCTTGATGAATTGGGTTGGGCAATAGTTGGCCGTCCCTGTGTAGCCAGCCAGCATTCCCAGGAGGCCCCTTGAAAGACTTTGGCAAAACGACTTAATTTCAGCAGCAGTTCAGGATTTCAGGATGTCTTTGGAAGGTCACTGAAGGGAGATGAAGTTTGTCTTATAAAGGTTTCATCTCCATCATTCCTACTCTAATCTCCTCAAAGAAAAATAGCATGGGCAAAAAATTAAACCTATTACCTTACATCCATCTGGTCTGGAAATTCAAGAGTCATACAAGACTAACAAAAGTTGGGAATATTTTGGCTGGACATCCTCAATAGTATAATCTATGTTTTTCAGATAATGTCATTGAAAAACAAATAGAAGATGGCCTTCTAAAGCCAGAGCTGCGAGAGAAAATAAGCTATGTGCTCCTTAGAAAGCACCGACATCAGATGAAGAAATCCATCCACCGATCCTTGGCAGATATTGGCAAATCTGTCTCGAGCATAAGTGAGTGAAATTTCCAGAGTGTTATTTTTGGCAAAGCAGGGAAGATGGTGACAGCAAGATGGTGAAGTCTTGGGTTCCTTCGTATGGGCTTCTTTTGCTACTGCAAAACCATCAAGACGAGTGGGGAGAGGATATGGCTCTGATCAATCCTGGGGGGAATTTTTTTTAAAAAAAGGATTTTTCAGCAGCAGCCAAAAAAGCTAATACAATCCTTAATTGTATAAACAGAGGCATAGAATCACAATCGTGTGAAATATTAGTACCACTGTATAAAGCCTTAGTAAGGCCACACCTGGAATACAGCATCCAGTTTTGGTCACCACATTACAAAAAAGAAGTTGAGACTTTGGAAAAAGTGCAGAGAAGAGCAACCAGGATGATTAGGGGGCTGGAGACTAAAACATAGGAAGAGCGGATGCAGGATTTGGGTCTGGCTAGCCTGGAGCAAAGAAGGACCAGGGGTGACAGGGTTCCAGTATTTGAGGGGCTGCCCCAAAGAGGAGGGGGCTCAGCACCTGGAGGCCAGACAAGAAACAAGAGATGGAAACTAACCAAGTACGGAAGCTGCCTGGAATGGAGGAGAAACTTCCTCACAACCAGGAAGACAATGAACCAGGGCCACCGAAGTTGCCTCCAGAAATCATGGCGGCTCCATCACTGGAGGCTTTTAAGAAGAGACAGGACAGTCACTGGTCTGAAATGATCTCCTCCTTTGAGCAGGGGATTGGACTAGCACTAGAAGACCTCCAAGGTCCCTTCCAGGTCCCTTCTGATTGATTTATTGTTCCCAAAAATGTGGAAGGGGAGATTCACAGTACATGATATATTCAGTGCCATTGTGACATCCAGCAATTCCCTGAAATAGAAGATGGCAAAGAAGCAACTGCTTAGGTTGCAGGGGTCAACCCGCCTCTTGCTGTGTGCTCCCCTGCCCCTCCCCCTCCCCCTGCCCCTCCCCGTAACTGGTGCCCATGAAAAAAGTGCTGTGGGGAATTCGGTCTGCGGTCCACCTCTCCCCACCTTTGCCTTCTTACTCAAAGAGCCGTGTTTCTTCAGTGGTTTGGGCTCTTGCTTGGTACCAGAGGCCCAACTTTTCACTAGCGGATCCTTTTTGTTGTAGTTGTGGGCTAGGATAGGTTCACCCCCATTATGTTTCTGCCTGCCAACAGACCGTAGCCCTGTCCAGAGTCCAGCTGCAGGAGCTGGCTTTTATCGTTCTTCTGAAGACCTCCGTATAAGGCAGAACTCAACTTATGGAAGATTACGTAAGTTCCTTTCCTCACTACCTGATATAATAATTGGTAGGGTTTTTATGTTTTTAATATTTTTATATTGCTCTTTATTTTTACCCCAGGTTTATTTAAGGGATGTTTTCACCAGTACTTTGAATATTTGTTTTTCAAATTTCCTAATTAGAAAGTTCTCATCTTTATTCAGCACTGACAAATATAATACAGAAAGGAAAACAGTCAATTCGTGAGTCCCATCATCCAATGAAAGGGTCACCCCAACACCGAGCAGCCAAACAACAGCTCACTCCCCGTGGCGTCTGGGCGGGGGGGGGGGAATCGGCCTGGCTTGAATTTCCACCCGCCGGTTAAGGGAAAGCGAGTGCACTTCTCCAGCCTAGCAGTGCAGGCTTGTTGGGACTGCTGTTCCCGGGCTCCCCCTGCCCACACAGCCTGGGAAGGGGCTCCAGCAGAGTCCAGCACTCAGGAGGGGTGAGCTTCCTCCCCAGCAGGGCTACCCCGAGTTGCCTGACCGACGGGCTCAAGCAGAACTCAACTGTGGCCAGGTTTGGGGCCCAGGATACAACAGTAGACGAGGGCACTTGCTTCCTTCTAGCACTCATGCCAGAAGAAATGAAACGGCCTCTCTGCACACTGGAAGCCATTCAAAGTCGGCTGGAAAATGGGCCGCTGCATAAACACTTTAAATAAATGAACAAACAAACAAATGTTTTCCTCCTTTAGGCCACACCCAAAGCCGAAGCATGAACGACATCACGGACATGCCAAGCACAGCCCAGGTAGGAGTCTGCCAGCCGCTGCTCTTTGAGAGCCTCCCACGATGGCCCCAGGGTGGGACTGCTGGGCCTGACCTCAGAAGGTGGGTGGCTCCCTGGCTGGGTACACTGCTGCCCTTCCCTGCTCAGTGGCTTTTGGGCCCACGGGGACGCCAGCCCCACCTAACGCCCCCCCCCTTCCAGAGACTTCAGAAGAAGCCGCTGCTCTCCACTGTCTGTAGCCAAGGGAGGGGGTTTGAACTCAAGCGCTGTCTTCACCTAGATGGGATTGCTCTTGTGGGGTGGGACCATTTTAAGAGGAAGAAGGGCGCCGGTCCGGAAACACTCCAGGGCCTTCTCTAGCAACTGATGCGGGAGAAGGGGGCAGGACTAGAACCTGGGTCTCCTTGTGCTTCGTCCAACATCTTTTACCCGGGACTGGTTGCCTCCCGGTTTCTCTCCTCATGCCTTAATCACCTTGCCAAACTGGCTCTCTTAATAGTAACATATGATGCTATATATCCATATGTGTATCTGCAGATAATAATGATATAAATTAGTAACATTAATGATCAGTAATTAGTAAAATTAGAAATATCAACAATGGAATAATACAGCATGACATTATTATTTTATACATTTTATTTTATTATTATTTTATGTTCTAACCATGAATTCTGGGAGAAAAAGTGTCCACTGGAATGCTTCTTTCTTTCCCCTGGACGGTGCTGGTTATGAAAGCAAGTCAAGACAAATCAGACGAGAAGGAACGTTTCTTATCTTCTGAGAAATATTTTTTTCCTCTCCAGCTCAGAAACAAGTTCATGAAGAAGATCCCCAAAAACGCGGAAGCCTCGAATGTTCTGGTGGGAGAAGTGGACTTCCTGGACAAGCCTTTGGTAACCTTTGTCCGGCTTACACAGCCCACTATGCTGGGTGGGATGACGGAAGTGCCGATTCCCACCAGGTAGGTCGATGGTCAGAGACACTCCCTGCACCTTGGTCCAGTTTAAAAGACGGAAACAGGGCTGAAGCCTGGGGTGGACTTCCCACCTTCACCATTTCATTTCTATTTCTATATTTCTACCCAGGTTCATTTGGAGTTACTGAAAATGGTCCCTAAAGGGACAATTCATTTTTTAAAATCTTATTTCACAGTATGCAAAACAACCCATAAATACTGGATTAATACTTGCTTTAAAAGTCTCCTGACTTTGCTTAATTTGGGGGAGAATACAGTATGAGGGTTCTCCCTCTCAAAACTTCCAAACCATTATGAAAATTTCATCCACCAATTTAACAGAAGATTCAGCTAATAATCGCATTTAACTATGTTTCGTTCAGAATTCTTCTCCTTTCTTCCCAGAATCATAGACATTCTAGTCTTTTTATTTGATTTCAAATTACATTTCAGGCATGAGGAGAGAAATTTCAGGCATTCCAGGTGGTCTAACATGGCACAAATGTCTGGCTTACTCTACTTGCGAATGATCATGATGTTGACTTGCCCCTATTCCAATGAAAAGCGTAGAATCAGCATTTAGCAAATGGTCATAACAGGAAAAGTCATATTCTGTCCACTTCTATCAACGCTTTGATACTTTTGTTAGCCATTTAAAGGGTCAGCCGTTCTCTCCTGCAGGAGCTTGTTATCTGGGAACAGTGTTCAGCTGGCTTGCAAACGCTCATATCTTGGTTTGCTTTCCTTCACCAGATTCCTATTTATACTCCTGGGTCCCACTGGAAAAGCAAAATCCTACAACGAAATTGGGCGAGCCATTGCTACCCTTTTGGTAGATGATGTAAGTCAGTTTTGCAGGCCTTTGCCATTTGCCCCCGTGTCAATGTTTTCCTTCAGGTGCCCCAAATGCAACAGCACAATGCAGCATAACTGATCCCAAAGATCTACTCAATATCTTGTGCAAGGAGGTGGTAAGTGGGTGAACCAAAATGTGTTTGTGTAAAAGAATCTTTCCTTGGGGTATTTTAAATACTCGGCCGTTGTGATTGTATTGTCTTACTTAAACATCGGCTGTTATGTGCTCCTGGCTACTTTCCTTGGTGGCCAGAGGCAATCTGGCCTGACCACTAACCAGCCAAGACCCAGGGAAGGCCTTTTGTTTCGCTTATTGCAACCAGTGGGGAGAGAAGCTTCCGCACCTTGGTTCTCTCCAAAGTTCCAACCCCAAATATCCCCTTCTTTATAGGGCCCTGTCCCAGCCGCCACGTCCCTCCTTGTTCTCCATTGGCTGAGCTACTAGGTAGGAGGTTGCCCTCTTCCTGACCGCCTCCTACACATTTCCTGCTACATACTAAATCCTGCATCACATGTACATTAAAATTAGGAGATAATTAATGCAAGGTGTGTCTAATAATATTAATCAGCTAATTAGGGATGCCCAGTTGCCTGTTTTGAGTTCTGGACTTTTTAAATGGATTCTTAGAACAATATATTTTTCCTGTTTTTCAGTTTTAGCTTTGCCTTTCCTGTTTTCCAATTCAGTTATCTTTCCAGGCTAGTCATTTCCTCTTGTAGCTGTTTTTACAGTATGTATTCTTCTTTTTCCAACTCTGAAGACCCAGCTAATTTTTGTCTACACGTCCCTCTTACATCCCGCTTTTATGCTACCATTTCCTTTCTCCCCATTATGGCAAGTTGGTTCTTTTCCACTCAATAAATGTTCATTGCACAGTAGATTTGACTGTCTCGGAAGATTCATCATATTGGTGCATGGCTTCTAGTGATTCAGTTGGAATGTTTTCTCATTCATGCGTTCAGTACTGTTCTTAAATACAAGACAAGAAGTGAAGACCTAACCAAGATTGTACACAGGAGATTGGCTGCTCCACGGCTTCCTAGCTAACGATTCTTCCTTTTTGTGTGCAGCTGTTCAGTGATGTAGCCTACAAAGCAAGAGACAGAGAAGACCTGATAGCAGGACTAGATGAGTTTTTGGATGAAGTCACCGTCCTTCCTCCAGGCGGGTGGGATCCAAAGGTTCGAATAGAGCCACCCAAGAAAGTGCCCTCTGCAGAGAAAAGGTAAGTGGGTTCTTGGTGCTTCCACTTCCTTTGTCCAAGGGAGCCTCATTCCTTTGTAATATCAGGAAGGACCTCTTTGGGGATTAATCCCGGTTTTTACATAGATTAAAAATATGAGCAAACAAAATACACACATACATGATTTATACAGGGAAATTAATGCCATATCAATGTAAAAATGCACCTAGTTCTGTCAATTTATGGTGTATCAAAACAGGACCAGCTGGTCTAGAGGTTAAGGCACACGGCTAGAAAACAAGAGACGAAGCCCTGGGTCAGACCTGCCCCCCAAACAATCACTTAGGAAAGCAGACTCTTGACTCCAGTTGACCGAATTGGACTTTTACTAAAGGTGTTGGTTGCAGGAAGGTGAGGCAGGATCTGAAGTTCCCTCTCACCAATACAAAGAGCCAAACCCAATCCCTCCCTGACCTGTAGTTCAACTTTTCCCATGATTTGTAGGTGGATGTATTTTGTTTGATCATATTTTTAGAACTATGTTCAAAGCAGGGTGGCCCAGGGAGGGCCCATAACATGCGCAGGATTAGGAAAAAGGAGAGTCAAGTTCTGCAGAACTTGATGGGCGACATTGGACCAATCGTGGTCCTTCTGCCTCCCAGGGAGGCTGTCTCCAGGATGGGATAGGAGGACTGACGCTACTAGCTGGGCCCATTGAGTCGCCATAGAGCCGCTTCAGGAGGAGGGAGGGGCTTCTGTATGTTGCCTTGAGCTCTTAGAGGAAAAGTAAGATAGAAATCTAATAAACATCTGCCTTCAACTGCCCCCAACTTGTATTACCGGCACCCATTTGCAGCCTTTGGGTACTAATATTCCATGTCATTTTCTTCCTAGAAAATCTGTGTTTTCTCTGAGCGAAGCAACCCAGATGAATGGGGCAGCCAGAGGAGTGGCAGGGGGTGCGGGTGGGGGCAGCGAAGAAGATCTTCCAGCTGTCCATGAAATTGGAGAGGAGCTGATCTGGACCGGACGGTGAGAAAAGCGTCCCTGCAATCGGCAATCGGCAGCAGTGAAGGGGGGCGGGGGGGAAACCCTGCTGTCCGGGTACAGGGAAGCACCGAATACAGCTCTGCAGCTGAAGACATGACCTCATTTGCTGGAGAAGAAGGACGGGCCTACAGACCTGCCTTTCCCTCTTTGGACAGAAGGAGCCTGCTCAAAAGAGCCGCATAAGCCCCTGGAAGACGGGCTTGTAACCCTCACCCCTCCATCCCAGCTCTTAGGGTCTGGCCAGTGCAGAAAGCTGGATGGGGGGAAATCGGCTTTGGCAAGTGAACTTTAGAGAAGGACAGGGAGGGTTCAGCCCCTCGCTCTGTTGCTCCCGATCCCTGCTTCCAATGGGATTGACATAAATTGTGGTCGTTCGGGGCCCCCCCGGGTGACTTGAGCATTAGCCAGGGGGCCCCGTGCACAGTGGCCCTTTCCCTGCCCTCTTGGGCACAGAACCTTCCGGAAGAAGCCCGGTGCTGACCAAGCAGGGCCAGATCCAGAAGGGCCAGCCAGAGACGGTCCATGAGGTGGGTGCTCAGGGCCATCAGGAAGGCTAGATGGGGCATTGCCATCCGCTGCTGCATCACGTGCAGCTCAGGAAATCTTGCCCAGGGGAACTAAGCTGAGGGATAATACTGGGGGTCTCTGGGCATGGAGTGGAGAGCCCTTCAGGGCACAGAGAGCACAGCCGGCCCTGCTTCCTTTCCAGGTTCTGCGGGGGCCTCTATTTGGATCTCAAGAGGAAACTGCCCTGGTTCTTCAGTGACTTCTATGACGGCTTCCATATCCAGTCCATCTCTGCTGTGCTCTTCATTTACCTGGGCTGCATTGCCAATGCCATCACATTTGGGGGCTTGTTGGGGGATGCTACTGACAACTACCAGGCAAGTTCAGGCCAGCCTCCCAGGCAGCCCCCCCAGCCCCCCCCCCGGCCCCCCCCCCCCCCCCCCCAGTCCTCTACAGTGGTGCTGGAGAATCTGTCTTATCTGGGCTCTTGACGTCCCAAGGCCTGAGCAACCAGGAAGAAGGAGGCTTTGGCACTTCTGCACCCTCCCCGCCCACCCGCCCAGGCCTGCTTTGAGGAGTGCGCTGAGGTGTGACTAGGAAGAGCACCGCTAGTATGCTGCTCCCATCCTTGCCCTTCAGTCCGGCTGGAAGTCAAGGTTCCTGGGAGATTACGGGCCAATGGACTCCCTGGCCAGATTTTAGAGCAGGGAGAAGAAGAACAGGCTTCCCGCCACATCTGTGCCACATGAGGCGCCACATCTGTGCCTGTTTACCATGCCTCACGTGGCATGTGGGCTTCTCCAGGCTAAAGGCCTGGGCTAAAAGAACCCTTGGGACCCAAGGCAGTGCTGAGGGCTTCCCTGTCCGTAGAGACAGAAACGTGGCGGGAGGGTCCCCAGAATCCTCTTCCTTGTACTCAGACAGTGCCCCTGCCTCTTTGTGCCCCCAGGGTGTGATGGAGAGCTTCCTGGGAACGGCCATTGCAGGGTCCGCTTTCTGCTTGCTGGCAGGGCAGCCCCTCATCATCCTGAGCAGCACGGGGCCCATCCTCATCTTTGAGAAGCTGCTCTATGACTTCAGCAAGTAAGTGGAGGCCTCTCGAACTGCGCCGGAAGCCCCTGCCTGGCTGCTATGGGGCGGGGGGGCAGTTGGCCGTCCCCCTTCCCAACAGGAGAGTGGGCCTTCTCTGAAGGTCTTTAACCTTTGGGCATCACACAAGTACCGGGCCCAATTCCGCATGGCTCTCTTTGCCTCCTGGGCAGCATTAGCTCAAAAAAATGGAATGGAATCAGCCCAAGAAACCAGGAAGGAACAAGGCAGTGATAGGTAATCCTCAACTTACAGCAGTTTATTTAGTGACCTTTGAAAGTGACAATGGCACTGAAGCCCAAGTGACTTATGGCCATTTTTCACACACACACGGCTCTTGCAGCATCCTCAGGGCCATGGGATCAGAATTCGGGCATTTGGAAATTGGTTCATGTTTATGGCAGTTGCAGGGTTCCCGGGGTCCCGGTAGCCACTTTTGCGATCACCTGAGAAGCAAAGTCAACGGGGAGGCAACTGGATTCACTTAGCAACCGTGTCACTGACTTTACAACTGGGATGATCTGGGTAGCCAGATGCTCTTAAGAACTAGAGGAAGAAAAGCCATGAAATGGGGCAAAATTCACTTAGCAACATAGATTTTGGGCCCAATTGTGGTTGTAAATTGAGGACTCCCTGCACTAGAAGCTAGTGTGAGTTGGCTAAAAACAGAGCCTGCGGCACCAGTGTAGACAAGGCAGCGTCTGGTTCAAGAGCAGCAACTATGGGGGAGATCCAGAGCCGTAGTGGACAGTCACTGAAGGGCGATCCAGCAGTTGTGCCGCAGCTGCCCCCAAAGCCCGCGCCGTTCTCGGCTGCACGAGCAGAAGTGTAGCCTCAAGGTGAGCATGAGAAGTGAGCGTAGCATTTTATACTGCGCTGGTGAGTCTCCACTTGGAATGCTGCATCCAGGATGTTTAGAAAAACTGCAGAGAACCACGAGAGAAGCGATCTGGAGGCTAAACGGTTGTGATGAATGGATAAGAGAACGAGTATGCCCAGTCTTACGAAGAGAAGAATTAGGGTTGACGTGACAGCTGTCACGGTAGTGGAGAGGAGCTTGACTTCTTCTCCAAAGCACCTAAAGGCAGGGCCAGGAACAGCGGGTGCGGGGTTATGAGGGGTCCTGCCTAGAATTAAGAAGGAGTTTCCTGATAACGAGGCAGGGCAGCTTGGATTGCAGTTTCAAAGAGGGCACAACTCATTCTAAATCTTGTAGTACTTTTTATTAACTAGCAATTGGTTGGTTGGGTTTCTTTGTTTGTTTAGCACATTTAGGTGGCAGCCCATCTCAAACAAAGCGACTCCAAACTTATGGAATCGGTTCCTTTTCAGTTGTGAGGCTTATCTCATCCAACTGGCGTATGAAGGCAATGAATTATAGCAGAACCGGGCCACATGCTACATGCCAAATCCACAATGTTCAGATGTAGGCAGCAAAACATTTAGGCTTTGGGCATAGCTGTTAACACCCCTAAATATCCCAAACAAGTCCTGCCATCACTAAGGCTCAATTTGCTAAAGAAACAGAACCTGTTGCAGATGTTGCCCAACCTGTAAGAAACTCACCCAACGTTGATCAGGTACTTCCAATTAGGTCACATCCAGAGGAGATGCTTCCTTTGGCCAAGCCCTACTCTCCGCCATCTTTGGCCACTTTTCCCACTCATTTGGGAATATCATGCCTTGCTGCTGCTGCCGCTGCCGCTGGGGCTCTGCTGTTGGGGTCAACCGAGTGTTTCTGTTCTCCCCCTCAGAGGAAATAGTATTGATTACCTAGAGTTTCGCCTCTGGATCGGCTTACACGCAGCGGCCCAGTGCCTTATTCTGGTGGCTACAGATGCCAGCTTCATAATTAAGTACATCACTCGCTTCACTGAAGAAGGCTTCTCCACTCTGATTAGCTTCATCTTCATCTATGATGCCATGAAAAAGATGATTGGAGCCTTTAAGGTCTACCCTATCAATATCAACTACAATCCAGACTATGTGACCATGTATAAATGCGAATGCATAGCTCCAGATGCAGGTAAGTGCAAATCCTGCATCCCAATGCAAAGCCGTGGCATTACCCTTTATAACGAAGCAGTATTTTGTGCTTGATATTATCCACTTTTTAAAAATGTCTTCCAAAAATTTCTGAAAGTTCTTTGCAAAGGCAGGTTAACATCATTTATTCTGTCTGAAACTGGAAGTAGCTTAGTCAGCAAAACTTGAATCCAATATTTGTCAATATATGGACAAGAGTTCCCTCTGTTGTCAAGGTTGTATCATAAATTTATGCTGAACTTGCTTTCATGACATGTCTCTACAGTGCTGTCCTTCCTGTCCAGCAAAAGTAAACTTTAATCACAAGAGGGAATGAACGTTACTGAAAATTTACTATGTCAGGACCATTTTACTGAGAAACCTGAAGCCTGTTCTAACACAATACGTTTCAGTGTTGTGGAGTGTTTCTTGCACCAAAATTCACTGTAGGCAATTCACACCCATCATTAGTCCGTGACTGCGAGGCTGCTACATTCCCAGCTGCAACCATCAGAGCCTGTGTGGGACACTCACAGAGCCTCTTAAACACAGGGCAGGCCAGCATCTGAAGAGGAACCAGATTGCAGAAGACACACTGTTATTTACCTTATTTAAATCACCCATGCCCAAAATAGTAAAAAGCCCTCTACTGTCTTATATTGAATTTTAAAAATACAGCTATATATACACAGAAGTTTCCAAGTCAAAGGAATGCCAGAGTTGAAAAACATTTTCTCTAACAAGAAGAATTCTCTACTAATTTTAAAATTGTAAACTTTTCTTTAAAAACATTTCTAAAGTTGATGACTTCTAATGCAACTTTTAAAACTTCCTTTTAACATATATACATTCAAATTCACTCAATAATTTTTACAAGCTTAACGCAATGAGCATTATATGCTGTATAAAAGAAAGAAAAAAGAAACCCATTTTCAAACCTACTTTAGGGACTCCAAACTATACATTAGAGCCCCGGTGGTTAGAATGCATTATTACAGTCAAACTCTGCCTGCAGCCTGGAGTTGGATCCTGACGGGGCTCAAGGTTGACTCAGCCTTCCATCTTTCTGTTAAAATGAGGATCCACATTGTGGGGGGCAAGAGGCTGACATTTTAAACCACCCAGAGATTGGGCAGCATATGAGGCTGAGTGTTATTTCTATTGCTACCTCTTTCTATTACAAATATCAGACAATTATAAAACCATCCCAACTCTAATTAGCTCCTTAAGTTTAAGTCACTCCCTCCAACTTGCCTCAATCTTTTTCTTCTCTATCAAATAATTATAATCTTTCTCAAGGGATTCTTGATCTTGTTTGTTCTCTTGAAAAGTGTAGATTTATTTGGAATTCTTTCAAATGTAGTGGAAGGTTTGTATTTAAAGCATCATCATAATAGAGATTGGTGTCAGATTTATATTCCAAAGTTACAATTAAGTCCTCTGCATTGTCAGATACTTATGAAATTGCCTCAGTGGTTTAGATATGATATTGTTGCCATTACGGAAATTTGGTGGGATGAAACCCACAAATTGAAACTACAGCTACAGGGATTTAAATTATTTGAATTTAATTTAGACCAAACAAAAGAGGAGGCGGAGTTTCCCTCTATATAAGAAATAAATATATCTCTATAAAAATAGAACGCAACAATGATGAAAACTGTGTTGAATGCATTTGGGTCAATGCATAAAAGTGGGAAAAATGACATTGCCATAGATGTACAGTATAGTATAGGCTACCCAGCCAAACAGAGGAAACAGATGAACTTTTTGCTAGTCAGTTAACTAAGGTATGTAGGAAGCACATCACAATAGTAATGGGGGACTTTAACTACCCTGACAAACTCTGCACAAGTGGAAGATCAAAGAGGTTCCTGATAAACTAAGCAGACAACTTTGTCTCCCCAAAAGTAGAGAAAGCAACTAGGGGATCCGCCCTATTGGACTTAATCCTCACTAACAGAGATGAAATGATGGAAGGTGTTGAAGCTACAGAAACCTTGGGGCGGGGGAGTGATCATGCAATATTGGAATTCAACATTACGCACGCTCAAGCAATAGAACAAAGTCAAACTAGAGTTTTGGACTTTAAAAGAGTTAATTTCAATAAACTTAGAGCTTGGGAAGGATTCCACGGATGAGAATCCTCGAGGCGAAAACAACCCAAGAAGCTTGGGAAACTTTGAAAAGTGATATAAAAGCCCAGTCTAGCATAATAGCAACGAAGAAGAAAAACAACAGGTCTCAAAAGAAACAGTGTGGCTGCATAAAGAACTCTCTGCTAAATTGAAAGACAAAAAGGACAGGTATAAAAAGTGGAAAGAGGGGCACATAACTAAGGCAGAGAATATCAGCAAATAGCCTGAGCCTGCGAAGATAAAGTGAGGAAAGCTAAGGCTCAAAATGAACTAAGGCTCTCAACAAAAGTCAAAAATAACACACACACACAAAAAGAGAGCCTCTTTCAACATGTAAAAAACAAGAAAACAGTCAAGGAAACAGATTGGTCCATGAGTGGGAGAAAGTGGCAAGAAGGTGATAAAGAAAAAGCGGGACTGTTTAACTCGTTTTTTGCATCCGTCTTTACACAAAAGGAAAAGAAACAGTTCAACCTATCAAATACAGTACAGTACAGTAAAAACAGATTAGGAATACAAGTTAAAATGAGCAAGAAAATGGTAAGTGAGCACCTGTCCACCCTAGATGAGTTCAAATCACCAGGACCAGATGGATTACACCCCAAGGTTCTGAAGGAACTGGCTGACATGATCTCAGAACCACTTAATTCTATCTTTCAAAGACCCTGGAGCACTGGGGGACTAACAGAGGACTGGGAAAGGGTTGATGTAGTTCCCATCTTCAAAAATAAAAGGGGAGGGATAGATCCAGGAAACTACAGACCTATCAGCCTGACCAAGTGACAAAATTAATGGACCAGAGGAGTGCTGTGGATTTGACTTACTTTGTCTTCAGTAAGGCATTTTATAAAGTAGACCACAACCTACTATTTGATGAGAGAGAAAAATGTGGGTTAGACAGCATCACCACCAACTGGCTGACCAACATGTAGTCCTCAATGGAACTAAATTTTAATTAAAATTTTTAGCTTCCACATGTTTCCATAGAAATCGGGAGGATAAGGTGTACACATGGCTTACAGAAGCGGTGAAAAGAAAATCAGTTAGTTTTATTCTTCTTTCAACTCGGTTCATAAAACTAATGTAAAACTGAATGGATTGAGCCATGGGTGTCCCCCCGCCCGCCCCCCATGGGAGAGGAGAGGCTCCAAGTTATGTGAATGCAACAAAAGGTCTGCAGGTTGGAGTCCGCGTCTCAACTTTTGGCCTTTTAATGGAGCCTTTTTACCTCATGCTGCCCAGAAGATTTTCTGTTTCAGTCTAGTATGTGAAAGTAACCTCTACGCTTCTTTGGCCTACTAAGGTCCTTTCTTGTCCTCTTATTCTTGTGAGTCAGCAAGTGAAACAGGAAGGGAATCTTGATCTCCATACCATAATTATGAAGGGAGTGCAAATGTATGAAACAAACAAGCAAAGTTACAAACAGAGAATGTGTTATTTCTAAAATGATTTGTATCCATTGGGAAAGTTGTTAGTCAACGTATTAGTAAAAGCTGTTATAACGGAATACAATTAACGGAATAAAACAACACGTTATACTCTTCCAGTATAACGAAGTGCATTTTTAAATAGTCAGTTAAAAGAGAGCCAAATATAAAATGTGACTAACAAACCCCTATCCTCCTAGCAAAAGCAAATGGACATGCCAGGAGTCTAAACAGACACCCAACACACACACCCCTCCTTTTATCACCTGGTATCCAAGGTGGTTGCCCAAAGCAAACAGATGGTCTCTTACATATTCATGTTAGTTAGTTTGTGCAAAACATCTTCTGATAACCTCTCTCTCTCTCTTTCTCTCTCATTTATATCCATCTATCATTTATTTACCTACCTACCTTCCTTCCTATCTATCATTGTCTGTCCGTCTGTCTAATCTTTGGGTGCAGCTTGGCACATGTAGTCACGGAGGTGTCTTTCAGAGGAGCCTTGTAGACCCAAGTAGAGTGACATACTGCCACACTGCATGCCAAACAGCAGGTGATGTTTCATTAGGGATCCCTGGGGTCTAGAAGATATATGCTCAATGGCTGTGAAGAATCCAGAACCAATCTCTGAAATGCTCAAATATGGGTGGTATTTAGCTTCTATCTCGATGAAAATAGCAGTAATGTTTGCTATCCTCTATTTCAACTGTTTAAAACTGAATCCCATTGAATTTGCTCCCCTTTCCATCAGTGGCATCCAGACTGGGGAATGAAAAGTCTTGGTGTGGTCTCAGTATCGGTTTGAAGCTCTGCTCCTATTTGTATAGAGCCACAAAAGGGGGTGGCTTTTATTATGCTACGGCCCCCATTTTCATGACCTCCCTTATAGATGCCACGGGGAGTGTCCATAATATTCTTTTAAGACCTCTTAATTTTTTTATTACTCTTATTTTTTGCAAATCAACGCTTTGGATTACTGTAACTTATTTATACCATATTTGTCTCTGCTGCACCCTTCTATTTGGCTGCTTTCATTCTCAAGTGAGTATCATTTTATAAATATTAAGATTATTAAATATTTGATACTCTTATTTTTTTAATTATTGTTATTTCTACTTTAGCATACACAATATACATAAAGTATTAAATCAGTCTTTTAAAAAAGCATTATTCATCCAGTACAAGATCTAGTTATTTTACACTTGAAGTTATTAAAAGCCACCCTAATATGTCTGTTTTTGGAAAAGCTTCTGGTTATAGGGAGAAGCAACATAAAAAAAAGTCTGGAATGAATAGCAAGAATTATCCCACTTTTGTCCAATTCTTTCTATTTTTCCTCTGAAATTCAGTATTTTCTCTGCAGCAAGAAATCCGACCCAACAACTGCTTCTCCTTCATTAATTGTGTGAACATTGTTTGCCTCCAGAAAAAATGATTAAATCAATTGCAACAGCCTGGCTTATTGGCATCAAAAGAGAAATTCAATACAATTTTTGCAGATAAGTCAGAACCAGTTTAGTCTGATGAATGATTCTTTCCAAACACTGCTTTTCCTTTTATTTACTCTACTTCATTTATTAAACAAATTTATCCCCCAAGCCTGCTGACACACCTGTGTCTTTGAGGCCATGTGAAAAGCAACAAAATGGGGCCAGCCTGACCTCTGGGGAAATGACATTTCAAAGGGAGGCCCTTTTTCGAGGTCCCATCAGATGCCAGGCCCTTGCTAGCCAGGAACACACAACATGCCCTGCCGCCTTCCTGCTCTTACCAGCATGGCCATTCCATCAGCCCAGGACCTATTCACATCCTTCCAAAGAAAAAGGGAAGCTTCCGGATGCTTTTGCATCTCTTAGATCAGGGTCCCCCCTTGGAACAGCACTCGTCCAGACAGACGCCCTGGATAAATTCAGAGGTTCCTCATGAAACTCACACCAGCAAAACCAATTTTATTACCCTTCTGGAAGGCCAAAAGGATGGGAGTAGTTCTCACCCTTGGTGGAAGAGGGTTCCACAAGGTTGGGACCACAGTGAAGAATTCCTCAGCAGATGGGATCTGTAGCAGGCCTTAGTGGGATGAGCTAATCCCATCTGAGTGAGATGGCTCCTCAGAGACCCTGGACCTATGCCCTATAGGACTTTAAAGGTAATAATCAACACCATGAATGGAACCCAGGAGCAAACTAGTATGGAGCTTGAGCAGAAGTATTTGTGCCAGGAGTAGGCCTGCCACTGTATGAGACACCAGGCTGTAGCTTCCGAATACTGTTCAAGAGTAGCCCTTGTAGAGCATGTTGCACTAATTCATCTGTGGGATGACTAAGGCACGAGTGGCTGTGTGCAGAGCCTCACTGGTAAGGGTACAACTGGTGCACCCCAAGACCTCCTAGCCATGACTGCCACCAGCTCTTCAAGTCACAAGTCCAGGAGAGCCCCCTGGGGGGACCCTAACCCTAACCAGGCCTCTCTCTCTAGGGTAGGGCAACCCCCTCAAGAAGGGTGTTTCAAAACAACAGATACTATTGCGCTTTTCCTTTTAGCGATTCTTACTATGGCTTAACATGGAGTGTCTATTTGCATGTCACACGAAATGCGTCCTGCTTGCTCTTTTTCTAGAAAAGAATAGAGATGGCCGGTGAAGGATTAGAAAATGTACCCAGCGTTGTTGTTGTTTTTTTACCTTAGTAGGGAGAGTTATGATCGGTGACCCCCAAATCCAAGAGACATGTACATTTCTGTCAGCTGAGGGCAGAGAGAAGAATTGCCCCCAACCATATTGGTGAGGGGGTCAGCGGGTCTTTCACCACACGAATGGCACTTTCTGCCTTCCCGGTAAAGCAACCCTGGGTAAGGCCCAGGCCTTTGGAGTTGTCTTCAGGCAATGGAAAGGGAAACAGGCCACGATAAAAACAACAAGCACGGCAGCACCCAATGAGGAGGCCCAAAGGGGTCCTCAGAACTCTGTGACCCCCTATCTAGCTCACCTGGGTGTAGATTGAAGTGTCTCTGTATTACTGCACAGTGAGTTTGATTGTCCCCAAAAATATCTGGAGAAGGAAGTAATAGGAAGGTAGGATCCACCCCAGCTATGAATTCTGTCCTTGGATTAATTTGGAATCTGCTCCTGAGAGACATCAACATTTTATTTATTTTTATTTTGTTTTATTTGATTTATTTGATTTGTCAGTCGCTTACAAGGTAATAGGTATAAGTATAAACATGAGTAAGAATACAGGAAATAGGGACACATTAGGACAGGGACGGTGGGCATGTTGGTGCGCTTATGCACGTCCCTTACAGACCCCTTAGGAATGGGGTGAGGTCAATAGTGGATAGTTTGAGGTTAAAGGAATTGGGGGGGGGATTAGAGGATGTAACAACAGAGTCAGGTACTGTATTCCAGGCATTGAGCACTCTGTGGCTGAAGTTGTACTTTCTGCAATCAAGTTTGGAGCGGTTAACATCTTAGGTATGCTCAGGCTCCAGCAATAAGGAAAGGTATCTGTTTGGACCAGTATGCTCCCCAAAGCCCCGTCTGTGCATCAGCGAGGCTTTCTCCTCCTTGCTTTCTGAGCTCCCAGTTGAAAGAGCACATCTTAAGTGATTAGGGAGATGTTTCTGCAGGAATTAGAACCAGAACAACATTGTAGCTTATTGAACTGTTCATGTAAACAGATGTTTATTTACAAGCTGTGGGCATGTAATTCTTACAACTTTTCTTTTCATTGAATTACAAACTCAGAGAGTTCTGTAAATACTTGGCACCAGTGGTTTTCTGGATGGTGAGATGGTGACCAAAATGAAGCCGATGAGACCCCTTTAATATGTTTAGCCAAAAATGGATTCTGGTTCTGCTTTAACACTAAAAGAGAATTTTTCAAAAAGTTCAAACCAAAAATATGATTGTGTATTATGGAGTCATATTTTTCTCAATATATTTCTTAATAATTACAAACTCCTTTTCTGCAGCAAATACAACATTATTCAATGCTTCAGTTCCATTGGTACCAAACAATGTTAATATTTCTATGGTAAGTTTTTTCCTCTCTTTTCTTCCCACCCACCAATCCAAAATACTGCGAATATCTTTGTTTAGCATTATAACTGCAAGAGCAAAAACTGATTATAGTACGTCTCCTCTCACCAGTGGTGAGTGGCAGCTTAGATGATTCCTAGGCCTCAAAAGGTTGGCCCATATCTTATCTAACCTGCCCAAAGAGGCTTCAAGCAACACCAATTAAAACCTCTTAAAGCAGTGAGAACAATTCCTTGCTCCAGTGATCAATCTTGACCATTTAATGGCAATAATCACAATGGTTCCTCATCCACTTCCTGATAAGCATACATAAATTGATAACTTTGGAAACCCCCTGCCATGCCAAACACACACCCTTTGCTATCCCTGAGAGAGACATCCCAGATGTATCTCCATCGACAGAAGTCTATAGATCTATTGTTCAACTGATCAAGGCCAGCAATCAAGAGAGTATCATGATTCCCCTTTCAAATTTGATTCCCAACCGCCAGATGTCTTCTGGCAAGAAGGAGACTGTAGGAGAATACATAGATGGCTGGAAGTAAGTTCCACTGAATGCAAGAGGACTTGAGAATATATAGCTATGGGATTGTGTTCTGCGGGTTTATAAATTCCAAAGTACCGGGCTGAATCCTGACTCTTACTGCTAATTAGGGATTTTCATTCACTGGATGGACCTTCCAAACATTTTGAGATTCCTCAGATCAATTGCATTCTACAGTCCCTTTAAAAGAGTCCAATTTGTTCCAGAGTTGAAAATCAATTTTGTTAATCTTGAAAAGAATTCTAGAAAAATTCCTAGTGATACATTAACAATCACAGCTTAAAATTGCAAAATAGGTATCTTGAAACATAAAGTGTACGTTTAAAAGATGCCTTCTATCTTCTCCATTACCCCTTTTTGGAGGGGAAAATAACCTATGGGAAGCACTCTCTTCATCCTAACAATGGTGTGATTAACTGTGATTCTGGCTTTTAAAAAATATATATATAATATATAATACACCGATATATGTAGCATGCAGATATATAGATACATATATGCAGGAATTGGGTATGTCTGGTCTAGAGAAAAGAAGGAGTAGGGATGACATGATAGCAACGTTCCAATATTTGAGTGGCTGCCACCAAGAAGAGTGGGGTCAACTTATTCTCCAGGAAACTAATCAAGTAAAGAAGCAACCTGGAATTAAAGAGAAACTTCCTAATAGTGAGAACAATTAACCAGTGGAAACTCTTGCCTTCAGAAGTTGTGGAGGCTCCATTACTGCAGGTTTTTAAGAAGACATTGGTCAACCAGGGGGTTAGACTAGAAGATCTCAGAAGCCCCTTCCAACTCTGTTATTCTAATATATATAATATTTTAAAAAATTACCTCTCGCTTGCATGTATTAACTTACTTGTTAGTTTTATTCTTCAGTGCCTGAATAATATGGTTTATTTTCTTATTCTTCAAGTATAATCCTATGAATGTAACAGTGCTGGACTGGACTCAATTGAGCAAAAAGGAATGCCTGAGATATGGAGGAAGTCTGGTGGGGACGTCTTGTAAATTTGTCCCTGATTTGGCCCTCATGTCTTTCATTCTCTTCTTTGGGACATATTCCATGACTCTGACTCTGAAAAAGTTCAAGTTTAGTCGCTATTTTCCAACCAAGGTAAGATTCTCCAAACGATGACTTGGGTGTCAGCTATTCAGAAAAGGTCTTCCTCTCCCAGAAGACATAAAATAATATTCTGTAGTGCCCTATAACTTGCTCTTTTTTTGTTTCCTTTCAACCCTCCACTTTTAGGTCAGGGGCTTAATTGCTGACTTTTCCATTGTCTTCTCCATCTTGTTCTTCTGTGGAATAGATTTCTGTTTTGGACTGGATACTCCCAAGTTGCATGTGCCCAGTATCATTAAGGTTTGGATACCCAACTAGGTTTTGACACACCCTTTCCTCTCTCTGCTCCAGTGTCCTGTTCCTTGCATTGCTTTCTCTAGTAGCTTCAGCCTTCTACGGCCTCAAGGTTCTCCTTGAAAGTGAACTGCGGGGAGGAGGGGGATGAATGCACTGGTTTGAGTCTAGGGGATTCAAAGACTGTCAGGCCTGAGCACAAGAGGAGAAACTGGCCTGTGTCTCTGAAAATTGCGCCAGCAGAGCTGGACCTTTTCTGGGTTGTGGCAGCATTTCTGGGGCCATTTCCAAGGGGGCCCTGTTCCCTTGGCTGTCCCCTCCTTTCTTCCCTCTGAAGGGGAGCAGAAAGAAGTTCGCTCTTCTAACTTCACAGCCAAGTTAGAGGAGACTCTGGGGGTGGCAAATACCTACCAGGGCTGGACTGAAAGTAATGTTGGCAAGAGACTGTTCTGGGTTTCTCTCTGACAGCAAAAGGATTGCATGAAGTTCTTTTCTTCTCCAGCTGACATTCTAACATCGCTATTTCTCGTACACGTGTGTTTTCTCTCCTTCTTTCTAGTTCCGTAAACTTATTAGTGACTTCTCTATCTTCATGTCCATACTAATGTTTGTTGGTCTTGATGTTTTGTGTGGGCTGAACACTCCAAAACTGCAAGTGCCTACAGAATTTAAGGTAAATAAACGAACGCTACACCTTGGCTAAAAAAGGCTCCCGAACTGCTTCATGGAGGCAAATGACTGGCTGGGCAGCATGATGTATGGATTTCTGAACAACTTGTTGTTCTGTACTGATCCATCTTTCATTGATTGCTTTGGGAAACATTCTCCCTGAGACATTAGGGCTTTTCATGTCAAAAAGTAGGGGAAGAGAACAATGGCTTTGCTGGCTGTGGCAGAGTCCGTTTTCTGAGCCGTGTAGAGGAGTGTTGGGAGCTAGCTGAGGAGAGGATCGAGCACATAAGAGGGAGCATATAAGGAGCACAAAGCTTGCCTATTGTGTGAGTCTCTCTGGTGACATGCTCTTTCTGAATTTTACTTCTAGCCCACACGCTTAGATCGAGGGTGGTTTGTGTTCCCCTTTGGAAAAAATCCTTGGTGGGTCTACTTGGCAAGTGCACTTCCAGCTCTTTTGGTCACTATCCTGATCTTCATGGATCAGCAAATTACAGCAGTCATTGTGAACAGAAAGGAGCACAAGCTGAAGGTCTGTGTTTTCTTCTGTCTTCTTGTACACCACTATTGTGAATTGGCACACAAGAAAGGTGGGGTGCTGTTCAACCCCATTTCCATCATGTTGGGCAAGGATTCAGGCCTGAGGCAGTAGAGTTGGCACATTGTATTAAACCAAGATCAGCTGAAACAAAGTCTGACTGGGTTAATTTTAGCCTTGGTTAGCTTCCTATGGCATGCTGTATTTATCAACATATTGTGCACACCAAGGCAATGTTTTAATTTTGTATGTGTTAATTTGGCAAAGCTAATTAGTGAGTTAGTTCTCAGAAGAGTTTTCATCATTCCTTCTGCTTCCCTGCATATTATGTTGGGTTGTGTATTTGAGTCACATCCCTGCATGTCCCAAACGGCCAATAAAAATCAAATTGGAAGCATACTTTTGGTGTAGTGATTTTGGGTTTCTCTTACTTTGGAGAAAGAAAAACTTCAGCACACTTTACAGCTCTCGCTGTTTTTGCCCCCAGTTCCCCCTTTTTTCACACTGTCCTTCCCTCTTCATTTTAGAAAGCCGCAGGCTACCATTTGGACTTGTTCTGGGTTGGAGTCCTCTTGGCAGTGTGTTCATTCATGGGGCTCCCCTGGTATGTGGCAGCCACCGTAATTTCCATAGCACACATTGATAGTTTAAAGATGGAGACAGAGACCAGTGCACCAGGAGAACAACCGCAGTTCCTAGGAGTGAGGTAAGGGTTTCTTGGAAGCCACTGAAAAGGTTTCTCTCACCTGTGTCAAGCATGCAACAATGCTGGGATGATGGGCAAAGAGTTGAGCAGGCTTGTAGAACTGCAACAATTTGGAGATCAAATGCCATTAAGCAATAATGACTGGGGAAATCTAGGAGTAGATGTTCCCATTGGATTCTCCTTTCTATGCCTTGCCCGGTGAGTGTTGGTGGGGGTGAACTTAGAAGGTTTTTGGTTGGCCTGTTTACTGTTGGCTTGATTGGCAGTTCCTTGATGGGGATATTGTTCACTTCTTGACTGTTGGTCTGATGTTAATCTTGGTGTTGATCTGTTCTCTTCTGGGTGCGGATAGCTGGTGGAGAGGTGCATAGGGCTTTTTGGCGTGTTGATTTTTGGCTTGTTCTTTGCATACTCTCTATATATTATTTATGTCCAAGCATCTATCGATGGGTAATTTGTCAAAGTGCCAGACTTCTAGAAATTCCCTGGCATTGTTGGAGTTGGCTTTATCTAGGATGGTCATGGTTTCCCAATTGAAGCTATGGTTAAGTCTATCCATCTGTTGTGAAATTAAAAGGTTTCCATGATGTCTTCTGAGTGCTAGTTGGTGTTCATGGATTCTGCCAGTCTTCTGCTTGTTTGTCTTACATGGTGGTGGTTGCAGTCATCACAGTGTATGTAATGTGTTTTATTTTTATTTATTTATTTTTATTTATTTATTTTGTCAAGCAATTATTAGATAACAGGTATAAGTATAAACATGGTTATGAATACATGAAATGGATACGAATAAGAAAAAAAGAAACAATAGGACAGGGACAGAGATCTGTTGGTGTGTTTATGCACTCCCCCTACAGATCTCTTAGGAAAGGGGTGAGGTCAATAATAGACAGTCTAAGGTTAAAGTTTTTGGGGTTTGGGGAAAAAACCATAAAGTCAGGTAGAGTATTCCAGACATTGACCACTCTGTTGCTGAAGTCGTATTTCCTGCAATCAAGTTTGATGAGGTTTACCTTGAGTTTGTATCTATTGTAAGCTCTTGTATTGTTATGGTTGAAGCTGAAGTATTCATGACAGGTAGGACATTACAATATATAATTTTATGTACTATACTTAGATCGGACCAAAGACAGCGTAGTTATAGGTTGTCTAGGTCTAGAATTTCAAGTCTGGTGGCATAAAGTATTCTGCAACGAGTAGAGGAGTGAAGAACTCTTCTTGTGAAATATTTCTGGACTTTCTCAACTGTATTAATATCAGATACGTAATCCAGGTTCCAGACTGATGAGCTGTATTCAAGTATTGATTTAGCAAATGTTTTGTATGCCCTAGTTAGTAGTGTGATATTACCGGAGAAAAAGCTATGCAGGATTAGGTTAACAACTCTTAATGCCTTTTTGGCTATGTAGTTACAGTGGGCTCTAGCACTTAGATCATTAGAGATGAGTACTCCAAGGTCCTTGACAAAGTTAGTGTCATCAACAATAGTCATTCAGCCTGTATTTTATTTTCTGATTTTTTTTGCCAATACGTAAGACAGAGCATTTATTTGTTGAAATTTGAAGTTGCCATTTGTTTGACCACTCTGACACATAGTCAAGGTCTTTTTGAAGGGTAGCAATATTGTCGGTGGTGTTGAATAGCTTTACATCATCAGTGAAAAGAACATAGTTGCTCTTAATATGATCACAGAGGTCATTTATGTAGAGTATGAAGAGAGTGGGTCCTAGAACGCTGCCTTGAGGGGCACCACTGTTGACAGGTACAGAATTTGATAGGGTGCTCCCAATTTTGACCATTAGTTGCCTGTTTGACAGGAATGCTTCTATCCAGTTATGCATATGTCCAGATATACCATAAGATTTTAGTTTTAGGAGTAGTTTGTCATGTACCACTGAATCAAAGGATTTACAGAAGTCTATGTGAATTGCATCAATTGCTTTGCCCTTCTTCTGGGGTTGCTGGGTCTTTTGGTTTGCTTAGGATGTTTTGAAGGGCTTTAGTTAGCTAGTGTGCCATGCTGACTCCATGCGGTTGTAGTAGTTTGCTAGTGGTTTCTGAGATATTCTTTATGTATGACAGTGTTATTATTTTTAGGACTTGTGTTGGTTGTGGTACATTGGGTTGAGTGGTCAGGCACCTTTTGATAAAGTTGCATGCATATCCATTTTGTTGGAATTAACATGCATATGCTCTGTTTCCTTCTTTCTGCTGATCAGGGTTGCTACAGAGAGTTTGTGCTCTTCTAAATAAAGTTCTTACACCGTTTCTCTTCTGGGAGGTTGGGGTGCTGCTTTGGTAGTGGAACACTTTGTTGTGTGGATGTTTTTTTTCTGAACACTTGTGTTTCTAGTTAGGTCATTGTGGTCTCTGCTGACCAGTATGTGCAAGAATGGTAGTAAGTTGTTGTTTTCTTCTTCTCTGGTAAACTGGATTGCTTTGAAAATGTTGTTGAGGTTCTGTGGGTGTTTTCTAATTGGTTCTTTTTTAATATGGTGAAGGTGTCATCTATATATCTGTTCCATATTTTGGGTTGTATTTGGGGAAATACTATGTCTTCCAGCCATTGCATAAAGACCATTTCTCTGATGCTTTCTTGCACCTCTGTGGGAATTCCAGTAGCTTTGGATGCTCCTTCTAGGGCTGCAAAAAATTCCAGGTGATTAGCATCACCTGTGTTGCAGTTGAGTCCTTTCTGTAGAATCCTGTGTTTTGCATCGTGGATGGCCAAGATTAATATCAGATCAACAATCGAGAAGTAAACAATCAAGGAACTGCCAAACAAGCTAAAAGTAAAAATATCAATGCTGACAGGGCAAACCACTAGCACACAAACTTGAGAGTAAACCCCAGCCCTTACTAGCACCAATGATGTTACCTAGATTGGGCAATGAAACGTCTGTCAGAAAACAAGCGAGCCCCAAAGACCCTTCACTTTGGAATAGTGTCCCCCATCCCCAACATGAAAAAAGCTGTGAAATTTGGGAACAATTGTTGAAATAGGGAATCTGAATGTTCTGTTGATATATTTTTTATTTCTAATGGCATTTTTATTTTACGTGTGCATTGGATTTATGATATAAGCTACTGGAAACGCTAAATGTGGTGACATAATTTCAGTTATTTATGTGAAGAAACTAGGAGGCAGAAGTATTAGGTCCATTTGCAGATGAGTTATTAAAAGTTATAAAAGGTAGAATAACTATTTATTTAAATCAATTTATATAGCTATTCATCTCACAATAACTTGGAACAGCTAACATACAATTAAAACTAATCACTAATAAACATAATCACAGATACACAATAACAGTCATCTCTGTTAACCCCCAGGGTAGGAAAACCACCAGGCCTGGCAGAGCCCAGCCATGCTTTCGTTCACTGCCTTCGCTCTCTAGGGGCCTCCCCCCCGCCCCCCCCCCCCCCCCCCCCCCCCCCCCACCCCCGAGGCATTTATGACAGCCTCCTTGTCTCCAGGCTCCAGTTTAGAGAGATGCTGCAGTCAGAGAAGAGCCTTCTGCTCTGTGTGGCTGAACTCTGCAGCTCCTCTGGAACAAACACCATGTCTGAATATTGGGACGGCTGGTATTTCAGCATCAGGCATGCAGGAAAGTGTCATTAAACTTGGGAAAATATGTAAGCATTGCATTCAAGGGCAGAATTCCATCTCTTTATTCTGATCTTTAACAGGGAGCAGAGGGTCACTGGGATCATTGTCTTCATTCTGACTGGGATTTCAGTCTTCCTGGCACCTATTCTCAAGGTAAAGCCTCATGATGTGGACTTAGCAAATGGCCCAGAAATTTTAAACCACCATCTGAAATGACAGGCAAGATTCATAGCTATTTATTCAAAATAAAATTCGTTCTATGAAGTAGAGATAGTCCTTAGCTAGTGACTACAACTGGGATTGGCAGCTTGATCAGTAAGTGCCATGGTTGCTAGGTGGAAATCATGCGACCACAATGGATTTATGACCTCACTTCTCCTTTGATTGTTAAGCAAACATGTAACTTCCAACTGTCACTAAATGAGGCAGTCAGTCAGTAAAGACTACCTGTATCTGATTGCACTTTTAAGTAGCTGATTTCTGAAAAGCAGGTTCACCTTTGACAACTCAGCCATGTGTGTGTGTGTGTGTGTGTGTGTGTGTGTGTGTGTGTGTGTCCTTTACCTGTCTGCTTGCTTCCTCTGCCGCAGTATATCCCCATGCCAGTGCTGTACGGGATCTTCCTCTACATGGGAGTGGCCTCACTCAATGGCATTCAGGTATGCACACAGGGGCTTCTGCTGGAGCTTTGCGTTTGTGCCGTCGGTCACCACTGCATTTCCAGGAAGGAGCCCCCTTGCCAGGTTGGGCTTCTTCCTGTTTTCTAATGAGGCCTGGTGGAAGAGGGTGAGACAGAATTGGAAAGGACCCCTGGGAACAAGAATGCCCCTTTCGAGAAACCCACCAATATCCTGAAGGAGTAAAGTTCTGCTTATCTAACCACGATGGTAGCAGCCTTTTCTTCTGGCCTTCAAGGACATTGCCTACGCTCTCTACAAGGAGCGATCCGATTCTCATGATCCAGGAAGAGGTGCAACAGGCTCTCCTGGCCATGGCTGCCACCTATTCTCCAACTGGGAGCCATGAGTCTCCAGGAAGAGCCCCAGTTTATCTACCAGCTCTTTCTGCCAGAGCAGTGTTGCCCAGTCCAGAGTTAAGGATGGGAGGTCTCCAGAACTGGAAGACACTCCAACCCATAGCCACTCAGCTTGGTCAGAGTTGAGCTGAAACCTGCACTGCTCCACCTGTGCCGGAAGAGCCTCCAACACAGTGGGGAGGACTTCACAGCCTGACTTGGACAGCCAGGGATAAAGGTGTGCAACTAAAAGTCCAGGTGATCTGTTTCCTCTAGAGCCCTTTTTAACTGGACCTGGAAAGAACAAGGGCACAATACAGTTGAACCCAGGCACTAGTCATCATTCTGCTTTTGAACCTAGTTTCTGAATAATGAGGGTTCAGATAAGCTACACAGAGGGTTTTGCACTTCTCTAGTCGTAGTTAACTGAAACACACAATCAGTACAACAATATCTGTCTTCCTTAGAAAAAGTCATCCAGTAGACCATTCATGTAAGACACAATTTACTTTTTCAAGAAAAAAATTATGCCATCTAAGAGCCGCATAAAACAGTGGCTAGATTCATACTTTCCACAAAACTGGAGATTTTAAAACCATAGTTCACGGAATAAGAAATAGTTGTTAAGTTCACAAATAACTAAAATGGCTTGATTTCACATATTGCAATATCCCCGAAAAAAACACATGGTTTTGTGCAATTTGTGAACCTAACCAGTGTTTATAAATGTTCCAGAAGATACAATTGTTAGTCACACTGGAATTTGCAAAGAGGTCCAAGAGAAGGGAAGTATGGCAGGCGGCAGATTAAACAAAATTCTATCTATCCCAAAACTGGTTATAAATTCAAGCTGAAAAGATTTAAATAATATATATATGAGCCTTGAAAAAACTGGATTATTTTCCCAGTATTTTTGGAGCATAGACTTCAGATGTACCTCTGAGACTTTTTCTCATTTGGAGTCATTGCTGGTTGCAAGTCCTACAGTCAGAGTGACTAGAGAAGGGAGCCTTGTCAGCCATTCAGATAATGAGATGTGGGCAGGATGCAGAGTCGGTATGCCAGGATTTGGACCTTATGCATTGTGTGTGCATGAGAGGGCTCCTCCCCTAATCTCACAGCTAATAAACCCCACCTCTCTCATAGTCCAGAAGGATGTTATGGCACACACTCCACACAACAGGTTAAGAAAATAGAGCGCGCTAAGTAAGTGGCTTATAAAAGTTTATGCTCTAGCGTCATCTGCTTAAGAGAAATAATGATAGCCATCAGCAGGATTTCAGCAGGATATGAGCAAAAGATCAAGATGGCAACACAATGGAGAGCACAATCAAAGTTCTGC